TCCATTCTCCGACCTTTCCTGCCTTAAAATTTGTGCAGACAATTACCCTGTGAAAGAGCTGCTATCATCACCCCCCATTTCACAATGACAAAACAGAGTTTCAGAGAGGTTAGGTCACTTGCCCGGAGCAGCACAGCCAACAGGAAGCGAATTCAGGTCTGATTCAAGTCCAAGTCCACTGCCCGCTAAGCAGTAAGAGTCAGCCCTACCCTTCTTGAAAAATATGGTTAGTTGGGATGTTATTTCTGTGGATGCAGAGTAACTGAGTGATGAAAGAGGATCCCAAAGACCCCAATAAAGGCTTAAGGATCAGCAGTGGGCCTCCAAGAGACCTCGGGGAGGGGGGGAGGCGGAGAATTCAGATTTGAAGACACCTGAGCAAAGGGTGAGATGACCTCCCAGCCCAGAGAAGCACCTTTCACAGGTGCCCAAGGGAAGACAGTTCCCTCCGTTGTCCCGTGAGACTCCTCCTGGACAGCCTCTGGCTCCCCACTGCTCCCCAATGCCAGTGTGCTCCTGGTATCGCCTGTCTGAGAGAGAGTGGGAAGACCCAGAGATGTAGGTTATAGGGTTGTTATGAAGATGAAGAGGGATAAGGCTCTTAGCAGGGTTTGGCCCATGACAGCTTTCAAATAACAGACCATTCCTGTCTCGTTTTGGTTACTGTTACTCAGAGAACCATACAGCACAGACTGGAGTCCAGAGCTGCCTGCAATCAGCTCTGCCCCTCAGGAGCTGTGTGACTTTGAGCGAGTTGCTTAACCTCTCTGAGCTGCAGTACTATCACCTGTGAGTGGGGATAATAATATCCATCTTAGAGCAATTTGAAATCGGATGAACTAAATTGGCATGTGCAAAGCAAGGCTGGTGCAAAATAAATGCTTGCTATTATTATTTTTATTAATAGAACTAATCAAGAGAAGTGACCCTGGAGAGAAGTGCCATAAAGCAGGGGAGGGAACTCCTAAGATAATAACAGGAGGCAGGTAGAGCTCACTAAACAAACACCACCTGCGTGGGATGCTGAGGCACTGGCCTGTTCATGGAGGGACGCTGTGGGGAGTTTATTCTATTTCCTAATCATTTGTTTTTGTGTGGGTGTGTGGCAGAGACAAGAGCACTGGGCTCGAAGTTCACACACACCTGGGTACAGACACCGGAACCTGATGGCCCTGGGCAAGCAACTGCCTGCCTGCGCCTCAGTTTCCCCATCTGAGAAATGGGGATCAAGGTAACATAAATCTCCGGGGGCTGTTCAGATGATCAAAGAAAATTGTGCTTAGAAAGCGTTTAGCTTGGTGCCCAGCCCCTTGAAGACCTCTGCAGACTCTGGTTGTTTCCTACGGCTGTTGCTTAGAGGCTGTGGAGCTAGCATGACTTCGGGGTCACCTGCTGCTGTTTCTAGCCCCCAAGGCCCCAGTTTTGGGGATATCATCCTCCCCCTGGGCTGCTGGAGAATTAATCTTGGCATTCCCCATGGAAAAGTTGTAAGAGGAGGGCAGCCAGAGACCCTTATTCTGGGATGGGCAATCCATCGCCACCTCCCTGCACCCCAAGTCTTTCCTAAGTGGAACAGTTAGTGGCTCTTTCCCTGCCTCCCAGGCCTGGACGTATTTTCCCCTGGCTGATGATAGCTCCCCTCGAGGTTACTGATCACTGTCCATGTGTTTGCAGAGTCCACTCCAGATGGCCGGGCAGCTACCTTCCCCTCAGCGCCCCAAAACAGAAAGTTGCCCTAACGCAGAGAGGCAGCAGAAGTCCGAGTGGTCAGTTGGACAGCAGGCTGGTGGAGGATCACTGGGCAGCACAGACTCATTCGAGGAGGGAGAGTCCCACTGGCCTGGGGCTCGAGTCCTCGGCCAGCTGTGTGGCCCAACGTAGGTGGCCACGCCTCTCTGGACCATGAACACGAGACGAGGTTAAATAAAAGTGTTGAGCACAGAGCCTGGCATGTGGGTGCAGCTGTCGAGACCCGGGTCTGTGATCCGAAGCGGCAAAGCAGCAGAGGGTCAGAGGCCAAGCTGCTCGGTTCCTATCTCAGGGCTTCTGCTCAGCCAGTCTAGAGTCACGAGCAAGTCCGGCATCGCTCTGCGCCACAGTTCTCTCATCTGTAAAATGGGGCTCAAAAAGTCCTATCCTGGTAGGGCTGTAGGTGGATTCGTTGAGCGAGAGTAGAAGTTGAGCTAAATACATGTTGAGAGTAGAACCCTGCTCATGGAAAATTCCAGATGAGTGCTCATAATGGCTATTTCTGCTTTCTAGCAGGATACCCTCTCTTCCCGCTGGGCCCCAGTACAGGCACCCTAGGAATGAGAAGGTGGGCAAGGGCCCAAGGATCTCAAGGGGCACCCCTCCGGCCCTTCTCCAGCTGGATGAGCAATTAAAGGCGTCAGATGAGCTGACCAAAGGAAAAAGAACGACTCAGGAATGTGTGTGCAGAGGGTCTAGGTCAGTATGGTGATCGGTGGTAGAGAAAACTGGGTAGGGCCCAGGGACACCAAAGAGTCAACAAGGGATGTCATATGCTAGGAGGGCTGACTGCATCTGTATTTGGAACGTCAAGATGGCTTTCTCAGATAAAACTTATCTGCAGATAATCCTGCACCACGATAATGTCCTCAGTTTTCACTCTTCTAGGCAGTAAAAGGGAGCTGGAATTACTTCCTCTTTTAGGGAAAAAGCAAGAGTTGTTCCCCAGCCTCCAGGGCCCTGGTTGACCTCAACTTCAATTAACTACATGCCACAGTGGGGCAGCTTAGGGAGTCCAGCTCTCGGGGTGATCTGCTCTGAGCATCTTCAGATCATGAGGTTATGCTCCCCACTTTCTCAACAGGCTGCCGGCTCCTTCCTGGGCCCTGTGCCCAGCTGAGACTGTTTTAGGCTGAAGGGAGGCCTGGGAAGGAAGGAAAGGATCTTCCAGAACAAACCATTCAGCAGCCTCGCCCATAAATAAACATCTCCATCTGCACATAAACACCTACTCAAATCCTCACACAAACTTAATAGGGACCAAGCCACCCCCCACACACACAGTCCATCCTACCTACTCAGAAGCCTCACCGCTGCCACCCCAGCCCAGGTCCCAGACAGGACCAGCCTTCGCCTACTGCTTCCAACCCACCACCCTCACCCCAGCTGTAATTACAGAGAGCCGAGGCTTCTGTGCCCGGCGTGATGTCAGCCTGAAGCTTCTAGCCTGATGAGCTCACTCTGAGTCAAGTGGGGGCCCAGTCACTCGGGAACTGGGTCAGGAGGGGTCTCCCCTCTCTTCTGGAGGGCTAAGGTGTTAGGGTCTCTGTTGGTCAGCTCTGCAGGGATCTGAGATCACAACAATATGGGCCCCACCTGGGCCTGCCTTCCCCTGCTTGGATACAGGGACCGCAGAAGCTCAGGGCCTCTGCTTCCTCACCTGCAAAGTGGGGGTGGTGAGAACACCCCACTGTTGCCTTGAGAATCAACGTGACAATGTCTGCCATGTGCTTACCTCCTCCTCGGCAGGTACACAGGAGCCAGGGAATGTGGGTGTGGTTTGGTTGTTGTTATTGTTCTCCGTATTAGTATTTTTAGCAAACTGCCTCATGCAGGCACTGCTACAAACCAATGACTCACTGCATTCCTTCACCCCCAACCATCCCCACCCCATGGTGGGGCAGACTCAGACCCTGAAGCCACAGACAATGCCCACCCCCCACTGCCACCTGTTGGGAACCCTTCAAGAACTGGAGCCCAAGCTCCAGGAGGCTTTCGGTCAAAGGGTGATTTGGCAAAACTGTCTCCAAGTTGCGTGAGGTGCGGGACTGGGAGGTGGGGGAGAGGCAAGTCTAGAAATTGGTCCCTTCTGAACTTCAGCCTTCAGCACAACACCCTCTGGCAATGACCCTTCTTCACAATGTCGCAATGTCGCAATGTCGTTATCACAGAGGCTGACAGCGTTGGGCCCTCGCAGGCAGTTTCCTCATCAGTAAAGCGGGAATAATAGTTGGCCCTTAAAGCACAGGAGCTCCGATGATGATGGAGCAATTTCAGGACGTACATAGGACTGGCATAGAACAAGCTTTAAGTAACCAAGAACTCGCCCCTAAAAATATAAACGTGGCCCTCCCTAGTGGCACAGCGGGTTAAAGCACTGCACTGAGAAGCTAAAGCCACTTCCGCATGAGTTCGATTCCCGCCTGCCCCTGAGGTGACCACATGGTGTGGCAGACCTCTCCTGACCCGCCCGCTGCTCCCCTCAGCAGTGTACTTCATCAATCCACCTCTTCTGCTCCCCACTCTGTCTCTGGTGAAGACTCTCACCCTCTGCATCTCTGGCCTGTACCCCAGTTCTGTATGAATAAATAAATCTTTAAAATATATACATATATATATACACATATACATATATATACATATACACATATATATGTATATACACATATACATACATATATATATAAAGGTGCCGGCCTGCTAGATGCTTCAGGAGACTCCCGCCACTGTCCACCTCACAGGTGAGAAAACCGCCAGCTCAAAGATGCCTGGGAATACGATCTGGCTCCCAGAGTACTCAGGAGGCAAAGCTGTGCAAGTGTGAATGATGCAGCCAGCCGGGCCCTAAGGTCCTGCCTGGGGATTGCAGAGGGGTCCTGGGCCCCTCTCCTTCATCTGTTCTGCAGGTCCCCAGGAGGGCGGGGTGGGGCCGGTGCCATGGCTGGTGAGGCTGGCGAGGCTGGTGAGAGGGTGAGGCAGCTCGGAGAAGGTATTTACAGAGTGTGACTTGAGCCCTCAGCCAGAGGGAGGGTTATTAATAGTTGGGTCCTAGTGCCCAGCTCACACAGGGCCCTGGGGGAGGGGGAAGGGGAGGAAGGAACAAGAGGGAAAGGGTGGAGCCTGGCTGAGCTGGGGGAGGAGAGTGTCCAGAAGCAGGCTGGCTGGCGGAACTTGGATGCCAAGGCCCCTCCCAGGCCCCTGGGAGCCCAGTTGTTCTCGAAGTGGATTCTCAGGGGCTGGTTCATCACCTCCGAATACTCTTGTGACAGGAGGCGCTTGCAAAACCCGCCTCCAGCCCCTAGCAGCAATAAATAGAAGGCTCCAGCCCAGGAGAAGCCAGAAGTTTCTAGGCCTGCCTCCCAGGGTTTATTAAGCTCCTGGCTCCTCTCTAAACCACAGCGGACTCTGGCTGTGAGCCTGGTGCCTGGGAGGACAGGGCTGAGGCCATCTGATCTCTGGTGAAGCAGTGCAGAGGGGCCCTCTGGGATTCTGCTGGACCAGCCGGGGTCGCCTTCAGGGGCTGGAGTGTCTTTGGAAGCTGGGCCCCCAGCCTGCTGTGGCCTCTGTCCTCCGAGGTGGATAGTTCAGCATTTCTGGGGCTGAAGACGCGTGGAAGGCCAGCCCGACCCCCTCACCTTGCTGTGTGACCTTGGGCAGGTGGCCCCTCTCTCTGAGCCCTGCCAGCTCAGCAGCCACCATGGCTGACGGTCAGATGCCCTTCCCCTGCCACTACCCCAGCCGGCTGCGCAGAGACCCCTTCCGAGACTCGCCCCTCTCCTCCCGCCTGCTGGACGATGGCTTTGGCATGGACCCTTTTCCCGACGACCTGACTGCCTCCTGGCCTGACTGGGCCCTGCCTCGACTCTCCTCGGCCTGGCCAGGAACCCTGAGGTCCGGCATGGTGCCCCGGGGGCCCACTGCCTCAGCCAGGTTTGGGGTACCTGCCGAAGGCAGGAGCCCCCCACCTTTCCCTGGGGAGCCCTGGAAAGTATGTGTCAACGTGCACAGCTTCAAACCAGAGGAGCTGATGGTGAAGACCAAGGATGGATACGTGGAGGTGTCTGGTGAGTGGGGGTCAGGGGAGCAGAGACCCCAGGGAGGGGCTCAGTGCCAGAGAATAGCCAGGAGAGCATTTCCTTAGAGGGAAAGAGTGACAGCAAAGGCACAGGTGACTTCATGGCTCAGGAATGCAGCCCACAAAAGTTATCTTTATGGAGATGTTCTCCTCTCCTGGGGCTCAAGGAGAAAGCTTAACCTGATCCAGCAAGTGGGAACTTTGGGGCTGGGTCCATCGGAACAGGCAGAAAAATAGCACATTGGATATCTTGGCAGAATCTGGTATAAAGAATAAGTTGAACAGATACAATAGAAATCAAAAGGCCAAAGAGAGGTGGGGTTTGTGATCCTCCAGTATCATGGAACAATCTAGAAAGGCAAGTTTTCTGCTGGGCTATGACAGTGTTAATAGCCAGCAGGGTTTAGAGTGAAATGCTTTCCCTGTCCTAAATAAGGAAATTGATGCTTAAGGAGAAGGTGAGAGAAGTCTGGAGGGGTGCAGGGGTGGGTGGGTGGGGGGAACCCGCTTCCTTTCTGGGTTCTTCTTGGACTGGACAAAAGAGCCTCAGACAGGTTGGCAGAAGGAAAGAGAACAATCTAACAAGGTGTGTGTAGGTTGTATGCACTGATTCTGTGGGTCCCAATCTGCCTGGCACACCAGGGCTCTTTCTCACGAGATTGACCTGTAACCTCGGTGAGACCTACTATTTGCTACGCGCCAAGCTAAGCCTTTTACCTGCAGCATCTCAGTTAACATAACCCAAGGAGGTGGGCCCTAGCGGGATCCTCAGCAGACTGAGGCAGAGAGGATAAACCTGTCTAAGGCCCCCAATGGGCCATCTGGGGATGGGGAGGGCAGAAGTGAATGAAGGATTAATTGAGCACCTGCCAGGGTTAGTGCCGTTTGCCCTGAGAAGCAGACTCTACTGGTCCCATTTTGCAGCTGAGGAAGCTAAGGCCAAAAGGAGTCTCTTCCTAGGTCACACCATGAGTCAGCACGGGGAGAGTCTGGGCCTATCTTGGACGCTGGGCCCGCCAGGCCCAGCCTCTGGCTCCCTCACACCAGCCCAGGAGACAGAGTTTATAGGTTCTGGGAGAAAGGAAGAGGAGACTGGGAGGCCCAGCTCCTGGTAATCTGAACTGCAGAGGAAAAGCTTTCTCTTGCCTCCCTCCCAATGAACGCTCCATTAAAGAGAGCGTGTCCCGGGCAGGCTGCAGGCCAGAAAATCAATAAAAGCCTTTGCAAACACAGGCTGGGCAGGCACAAGCCCTGGCAAGGCATGAGCAGGAGGAGCTTCAAAGCATCACAGAATTATAAACATCAGAGGATCGAGGGTGTGATGGGCCAGGAGACACACCAGGCCACAAGGAGAGGGAGGGCGTCAGCCAGGGCTCTGTGCGCTGTCTGGGGAGCAGGCAGGAATTCTGGAACTATCTGGCGGGCAGACCGTGCAAGGGACCAGACTCAGGGCTTGGCTTTATTTTCTGGAAATTGGGGCTCCAGCAACTCTCCGGCACTAGGATTGCTGTGTTAGTGGGATGCAGGAACGCGGTGCCTAGAATACAAGGGGTCAGCCCCGCTGAAGTGGATGTGCTATAACATGCCAGGCACGGTGGGGCCCCCCAAATTGGACATGGTCCATGCTCTTTGAGACCTGGGTTCAAATACCAGCTCTGCTGCTTGCACTCTGGATGGATGTAGAAAAGAAAGTCATTTTACTCCTCCCAGCCTTAGTTTCCTCATCTGCAGAATGGGGTCATCATCACTTCCCGCCAGGCTCTTGGAAAGACAACTTGTGTCTGCAGAACCTGCAAAACGGCGCTCTATTAACAGGGGGACGATTATCACCTTTCCTCCCATCTTTGTCCCATCTTCCACCCAGGTTGGATGTGCTCTCTGGCCCCTCCAGGAAACCTCTGTCCAGTGTTCTCTCCATCCATTCTAGGCACTTCTTAACCAGTGGGGGTCTGGCAGCTCCAGGCTGAGACCCCACCTAAGTACCCAACTCACTTAGAGGCTTTGAGTGAGTCGTGGAGCCTCAGTTTCCTGATCTGTAAAAGGGGTGCATGCAGACTTAAATAAGACAAAGCCTTTTGAGGTGGTAAAATGCCTCATAGCTAAGCACGTAGCAAGCTCAGCTTGCCAGGATCCAAATACCCCTGAGTACCTGCAGACTCTTATCAAGGGGGCTTTAAAACATCAGCTCAGATCAGCGCCTCCATGGAATAAACAGCAACTCTGTAAGGAAGTCTGTGCTCACCTCCAATATCATATAATGACAAACCTGTTCTGGCCCAAGCACTTGGTGGTGCATGTCACATAGGCTGGCTCCAGTTTCCTCCAGGGAAAAACCAGTAGGATGTTACACCCATTTGACAGATGAGGAAACTGAGCCACAGAGAGAATAACCTGCTTGAGCTCCCTGCAGGGTCTGAATGTGAAGTCTGATCAGTTGGTCTTACGTCAGGATGGCTATACTCGCTTCTGAATGCACAGCCCTGAAAAACCCTAGCACCTCTTAGGTCTCACAGTGTTCAGCCTGGGAGGAGGTGAGCTCAAGAGTATCTGTCCAACAGATACTAAGTGTCTTGTAAACAGAGATCCTCAAGGCAGGACTCGCCTGGGATTTGCTAATGTAATTTAGGAATCGCTAAGAGGTGGCCTTATCTGATCACATAGGCGTGTCTGGTTCCAGGGAAGCGTTTGGAAAATTCTGGACTAGGTGATTTCCATCCTGTCTTATACCCTGCACCCCCACCCCTGCAGCCACCAGCCAAGGAATGTTCCCTTCATGGGCCACTGGGCCAGGCCCTGGCCAAGGAAGGAACTGGAAAATCCAGAGACTTTACTCCCACCCCTTCTTAATCTCACAGGCTCTGTCTCCCCTGAAAACAGCGCTTCTTTCTTTGGTTGGGCCCATGGCTCTTTGTTAAGTGGAGGCTTCTTGGCATCTGCGGCCTATAGAGAAAACGGTGGTTGTGAGGGGGGACCTCTGGTTTCCCCTAGCCTCCAGATAGTCTTTTAAAAAGAGTTGTGGTTTTTTTTTTTTTAAAGATTTATTTATGTATGTATATAGAACTGGGGTACAGGCCAGAGGTGCAGGGGCAGTGAGAGGATTAACCAGAGGCAGAGTGGGGAGCAGAACAGGCAGCTTGACCGTGTATACTGCTGAGGGGAGCAGCAGGCAGGTCAGGAGAGGTGACCCACATGCTGTGCCATGTGGGTCACCTCCAGAGCTGGGGATTGAACTCATGAACTCAGTGCTGTGCTTTAACCTGTTGCGCCACCTCTCCCCAAAAAAAAAACAAAAAACTTTTATAATTACTTTTTCTGTTTACAAAAATAAAATATTTCCATGGGAGAAAATGTAGATAGGAAAGCAACACAAGAAAGTAAAAAGAGCTCGTAATCCTTAAACTGCCACAATAAATAGGAACTGGAATGATAATGGAAATTAGCTTCCAAAATAAGTCTCCTGGCCCCACGCTCCTCACCAGGCCCCTTATGGAACTCTTGTTTCTGCCCCACTAGGGATCGGCCCTCCTTAACTGCAAAGTCCTATTTTCAGACCATGGACAAGGAGGTTTGGCTTCTGGGTTACTGTCCTTTTCTCGAACATCAAGATAAACCACCAGCGTTCACCCTCACACAGTATTTTTACAACTTGCCAAACAATTCTGTGATTCATTCACATAGTTCCTGATAATAACCCAATAATCAGGAAGATGTTGTCACCCTGATTTTAGAGAAAAATAAACTGAGTTTCAGAGGATTGTAGAAATACCCAGGAAGTGTCAGAGCTGGGGTTCGAGTCCAGAGCCCACCGACTGCTTTTGAGTCTGGCTCCATCACCTCTGAGTTGGGTGACTTTGGCCACGCACGTCACCTCTGTCAACTTCCACATCTATGTCCATAAAATGGCAACAACAATAGAATCTGCCTTGTAAGATTGTCGTGAAAATTAGAAGAATGAAAACAGGTAGGCACTGGACGTGAGTCGGTATTACTGTTCTCATCCCTGTTATCACTATTGTTTGATTCCAGGGTAATCCCTGTGTGATTATTCTGTGTGTAAAAGGGCTGAGTCAGAGGCCCTGGCCTGTCCCCCAGGGAAAGCAGGCCTCCCGAGGCGGGGCTACAGGACAACCAGGGACCAGACAGCGCCCCTCTGGCCGTGGGTGGGCCTCACTACAGCTCAGCCGTGGGTGGTCACGGTCTTGGCAGGTCAGAAGAAAGTCCCAGAGCGGGGGGGGTGGGGGGGGGCTGGTTAGCAGACACTCGCACTTAAAACCAAGTTCCTTTTCTGCCCAGCTGGTGGGAGAATAAACTGGCACTGCCTTTCCTTAGAACAACTGAGCGTCATAGAGTAAGCTTAGAAATTCTAGAATTTGGAATTTGTCCTAAAGAAGACAACGGACTGGTATGAAGATCTAGTTAGTACCCACTGCAGTCTTTCCAGTATTAGCAACCTCGGTGCCCAAAAGTCAGTACTGATTAGATAAACTATGATATTCCAGCCATGACCATTGAAAATCAGCCTTCAAAGAATATTTGCTGCATGTGGAACAATAATCACGATGTGTGAGCTAGAGATAAATATGGGCGCCAAGCAGAATGTGCAGGACAATCCCATTTGATAAATCTGCTTTCTCTCATACACATAAAAAGAAAAGCCTGGAATGTTATTAGTTGTTTCTTCTGGGTGATGGATTATGGGCCTTTTCATTGTTTTTTATTTTCTATATTTTCTAACGTAGCCTTATCGTATCAGAAAATCATTAATAAAGGAGTAATGAATAATATTTTTTAAGCAATAGACCATGGAATCCTCTGTAAGTTGCCAGTTTAAAAAGATCTGGACTGTGGGCCCTCCCTGGTGGCGCAGCAGGTTGAAGCACAGCACTGGGAGACTGGGGCCACTTCCGCATGAGTTCGATCCCCGCCTGCCCCGGAGCTGACCCACAGGGCGCGGCAGACCTCTCCTGACCCGCCTGCTGCTCCTGGCAACAGTGTACTTCATTAATCTGCCTGTTCTGCTCCCCACTCTGTCCCTGGTGAAGCCTCTCGCCCTCCGCACGTCTGGCCTGTACCCCAGTTCTGTATGAATAGATAAATAAAGATCTAAAAAAAAAAAAAGATCTGGATTGTAAAAAACACGCCATCCCACAAGGTAATATAAGCCAGAACCCCTCTGCAAGTTCTCTGTGTAAACAAGGGGTCTCGGTGAGTAAACAAGGGGTCTTGGAGCTAGAACGTGACCCCACACATGAGGCCTGAGCAGTGAGAGCTGCTGAGCTCTCGTGGGCACTGATACTGTTAGTGTATAGAGAAATAAAAGTCTATTAAAGAAGGAAAGAGGGGGAGGAGACGGAGGTTCATTTTCTTGTTGAAATTGCAATATAAAAGCCTGCTTGGGGCCTGGCCTTCCTGTAATTTCATCTTTTCCTTCCTAAGGAAAACAAAAAGCCCTTAGCTGCCACCCTATAGGGGTGGAACAGATGGAAGTTTTCCTCCTTGGGGACTAACGTGTCATTTCTTGGGAGAGCCGCCTTTGCAGGGTGTCTTGTCAGCAGGTTGAGGTCCAGGCGGTTCTTTCAGTAACAGACACAGGTGCAAAGAGCGAGTCTGGAGCAGAGAGGGGCCTCAAGCCAGGCACTCGGCTTAGATTCAGAGAGCTGGTTCAGACCCGGAGCTGCCACACACCTGCTGGGTGATCTCGGGTCCACCCTGGACCTTAGTTTCCATGTTGGTAATCAAAGGAGAAAGCTGGCCATCCTCAGACCTATGGAAGAGCCCTGGGTGCTGGGGAGCAAACGAACCCTCAGTGTGTGACCCCAGTTCTACCATGTTAGTGGGATGTGATTCTCAGGCTGCCACTGAGATTTAGGGTTCAGCGACAGGCGGCCTCGCCTCTGTGGCCTCCTAAGTCTCACTGTCTGCAAGCCACAGCGAGGGTCTCCCATCCGGTCCATGGCTTCATTTCAACTTCACAACAGCCCGGGAGGAAGGTCTATTCTGGTAAATGAGCTCAGAGACCAGGAACCTCCAGTCTAGAAGCTCCAGGCACAGCCCACTGAGGGGGCAGGACAGGCTTGGAACCCACGTGCCAGTCCCCACCTCCAGGCTGACCTGCTCTGTTCCCTCCCTTCCAGGCAAGCACGAAGAGAAGCAGCATGAAGGAGGAATCGTTTCCAAGAACTTCACAAAGAAAATCCAGTGAGTCATCGGCACTGTGGATTCTGGGTGGGGTGGAGGAGAGGGGTGGCTGGTTCTCAAGATCTGGGGTCCTCTTGGGCATCTCTCCTGGGGCAGGGGACCGAGCCCCACCCCCAGACGTCTGCAATGGGTGTGGTCCCTGGGGGCCCTGTGGTGCTTCTCATCTTCCCAGTGCCGGGGAGGTGGAGTCAGGGTCGGAGGAAGCTGAGACCCAGAGGGGCAGAATGACTCACAATTCCCTACCCTCTTGGTGTAGCTGAGGGAGAATTGCGTTCTGTCAACAAAGACCCTCTCCGACGTGTCCCCAGCGCCCCCACTAGAATCTTTCCAAGGCGGGAGGATGTACATCCTCCTGCGAGCACCCACGCGTTAAACCAGGTGTCCGGACATCCCTGCTTACCGGCTGGGGGTCTGTGCACAGCACATCCTCAGAAGCAGCGGTTCATTGCGGTGGGCGTCCACTCCATGCCTGGGCCTGCGCAGGTGTCCTGTATCTGGAGAGGTGGTGTCAGCTGAATTCTGGGGTTTCTTCCAACTTTGGGGTTCTGGAGCCTTTTGGGGTTCTGTCTTCCCCAAATGCCTATTTCTGATGGCCTGGTGCCTCTGGAGTAATATTTTAGAATTTTAATATTTTGGACTTGTTCTGTTTCTCCGTTTTCCCCTCACCTGCCGCCGTGCCCCCAACCCACACCTCTCCCTGATACAGCAGCCAGCTCAGGGCAGCCGAGAGGGAACAGATGGGAGGAGGGAACCGACATGTCTTTTAAGAGACTCAAATAAGGTCTCAGGATGAAGTCACAGGCAGGACAGAGCTGTGAGTGGAACTGAGCCAGAGAGAAGAGGGTAAATTAACCATGTTTTCAAAGCTGTCCATTTTTGTGGACTTCCCCATCTCCCAGGCCTCTGGGAGGAAGACAGCTTGCTTGACCAGTTCATTTGACCAGCTAGAATGACTTAGGCTAGCTGAGGGCCTCACACCCCAAGCGCCGCCCTAACCGTCCACATCCCACCCTGTCCAGACCTCCGACATTTCAAACTCTAAAGGGCCTCTGAGCCCCTCCTCCATCTGTTCTGGCCAGTCAACTAGAATTAGGAGATCTGTAGTGTGGTTTTGAATTATTGTCGTTAAGTGGTTTGAATTCCGCGCCGCCTGAGCCCCATCCCTGCTCCCTGATAAAGTGTGGGTGACTTGAAGCTATTTGCTGAACTGCTAATATTTAAATAAATCTTAAAAAAAAAAATAGAGAAATAGTCATGGGACGAGAAGATTTCCCCCAACCCAGAATACCAACACAATAACACAGCGCTAAAGCAACAGGCCAAAGCTGGTTCAGGAAGGCAGGCCAGCTAACTTGGGAAAACTCAGTAATTTATGAGACATCGTTGTTTGCTCATGGAGGAGTCGATGTGAGGAACGAGAGGATGCCGGTAAAGCCTTCTGCGTTGGTGCAAACTCAGCACTCAGTCCATGAAAACTAATCATTTCAGACCTCAGCAAGGCCTGAATCACCCAAGAGCGGCTGAGTCTCCTGGGGTTGCCTGGGACCCCTGGCTCTGGCCAGACTCCAGAGGCCAGAGAGTGGGACAGGGAGCAGGCATGGCCCTGAGTGGACCCCAGGAGGCTGCGCTGCCTCCCCCAGGAAATACTGCTCATCAGAGGACAGGGAAGCAGGGATCGCCGGAGAATTCCGCCCCAGCAGTGAGAATGCTATAGTTGTTTTTCTCGCGTGCTGGGAAACTCACCACAACCCATCCATGCTAGTGGGAAAGACCCATTTGGACCAGATAGCTGGAGGGGGGGGGGACTCTTGGCATTTGCCAATAGATTGGGGGCACGCAAAATCTGCCAGGGTCCTCATGAAAGGTCCGGAAGTAGCCACACCGGAAGTCACCCACGGGGCCTCCCAGAGCCCAAGCACACTTCACTGGCTTTGTCATATTTCTCACTTATCTGTTCTGTCACTTGGTGACTAATACAGTGTGCCAGGAGCCTAGGTTTATGGATTTAACTTTATTTCCTCCTCAAAAGAATTCTATAGAATGGGTGTTGTTAAACCCATCTCATGGGTGATAAAACAAGTCCCCAGGGATGATGGAACTCAACTGAAGGTCACACAGGGAGTAAAGAGCAGGCCTGGGATTTATATGTAGGTCTCTCTACCTTCTGCATTCATGACCTTCCCCCTAGGATACAGGTATATGATCACCTGCTAACTATTGTCACTTTTTTTTTTTTTGCCTTCTATGTTTACGTTCCCCTACTGGTTTTGACCAAAAAAATTATTTTATGATGTATCACTTCATATAAAGTTAAATTCTCATCACTAAAATGTTCACAGAAGAAGGCAATTATACAATAAGCCCAGTGAAAGCAGACTGTGGTTAATTCTATCTGGATAGCGTTGCCTGCCGATGGGTGTAAACTTTAGATCAGCTCTTTCTTTGTTAAAAGAGAAAATCTGCCAGAGACACAGGGTATATGAACACTTAGTTGATCCTTTCATTTAGATGTAAACAGAAGGATTGAAGGAAAGCTGAAGGGAAAGAACATTCTCACCAGGTGGAGAACGGATCTTCTTCCAGCTCTGGGCCTCAGTTTCCCCTTTGTAATGCGAGACCATTGTCCTCAACAGTCATCATCCCTTCGGGTTCTGACGCTTCAAGCTCTGTACTACAGCTTATGCTGAAATATTCACAGCTGGCAGTTGCCCAATTGTAGAGCCAAGAACTGCAATCCCAGTACAGAAGCTAACAATGATTGAGCACCTACTGTATACCAGGCATTGTGCTGAGTCCTTTGCTTTCATTATCCCATATAATGCTCACACCAGCCTACGCTGATACTATTATTACCGCTTTGTCCAAAGAAGTAAGATCACGAACCCAAAATCACAAAGTCAGGAAAAGTCAGAATTCAAACTCAGACCCACCTGCTTAGAAAGTCCACACTCTGAAACTAGGCCACCCTGTCACACTGCGCCAGGCACCCACGGCTGGGTATGCAAATAGTTAAACAGTCAGAGGAAGGGAAATCCAAGCTTTGGCATTGTAATGTGAAGCTTCCTGTAGAAGCTTGACTTGGCATCTTCCCAATTTCACTCTTTTGCTCTCATCCTTCCCAGCAGGCCCTTTGTTAATCTCCATGGTTCCAGTTGGCAAGTGTCTCATGGGGAGATGCCTTTTTTTGTGATTATAGGTTGCTAATCACAGTGGAACCCAGCCCAGTACCCCCACCCCAGAAGAGTCCTGTCTATGTCCAGGAATGAGCTTACCTTGTTTCTATGTTCTCCCATCAAGAACCCTACATTTACCACAGGTGGCACCAGCCTGGCCTGTGGAAATATCTATGAGATTGAACCTCATGACTTCCCTGCATGGTCCTTTTCTGAGAAGTCTGGTGCCCAGAACAGCAGGAGAGCATCATTGTCTGGATGCCTGGATTCTAGGATTCCAGGAGTTCCATCCCCAGCTGCTGTTTGCCAGCGATGTGACGTTGGGCCAAGGAGTTACCTCCCTGACCTCAATTTCTCCATCTGTAGGTTGGGAATAGTAACACTATTCTTGTCAAAATAACTAAACAAAATGATTCAGGTGAAGTACCTGGTATGAAGAAAATCTTTAGACTGTCCTAGCGTTCATCTTTTTATGGATAATGGCAGTGCAAAGAGGTCATTAACATCTCACAGTTCCCGTGGTTTGTTAAAGGAGCCATGTCCCAGATGGTCTTATTCACCCAAAACAATGCCAAGATCAAAAACCGTCTCAGGACTGGACCCCAGATTCATGTTCAGAAATTCTATCATGGGTGTTTTTTTCATTCTGAGTCTGTCATTTGATTCCCCTAAGTCTCTTACTTTTTTTTTTTTTACAAGATGAAAGTTTAATGAAAATTGATTAATGGCGTGTTATAATCCACAAAACAAAATAGTTACAAGTCTCTTCAATGTGGGCCTATAAACTCCTTGCTCATAACCATGGTAGGCTCTGAGCTATTCTCCATTCTCTGGTCTTTATAAAGCTCCGACCAGATAAGGTCTACAACTGTGTTTAGGAAACAAAGCAATTATGAACTGCTAACAGATATGCAAGATGTAACACAATTTAAGCATTACATAGTATTTGCCATCTGAACTCTGACTGTGTGACTAGTCTTATCCCTTTACTCACTAAGTTGCTTATTTCATCATTAATTCCACCAGAAATACATTGTGTAGTGCACTCTCCAGAGACATGTGACAAATGGCTTTGCGTCACCTGCCATGAGTCACACCTCACCCACACTCTATAAGTGGGCAGCAGTGGTAGCCATTTCTGCCAGAGGCTGGTCAACTCTGGGCATATGGGTAGAGAGCCCCATTGAGGGTCAAATATCCTTCTAAGTTACTGCTGGATTTTACCATTTGCAAAGTGCATCCAGACTGGGGCCTCAAATATTGTCCAAATGTGCAGATGAGACGATCAGCTCAGAGCAGTTGAGTGACCTTCCCAAAGTAGCATAGCTGGAAAGGGACAGAGCCAGGCTCCAAGCCTAGCATTGTAATTCCCCACAACCTAAGCACCTTTCAAAACTATGTTCTTTCTTTCTTTCTTGTTAGTTTTGCACAGAACTAGAGTATGGGCCAGAGGTGCAGGGAGTAAGAGGATTCCGCCAGAGACAGGTAGATCTACTGAAACACACTGCTGAGGGGAGCAGTGGGGAGATAGGAGAGGTCTGCCGCACCATGTGGGTCAGCTCCCTGGCTGGGGACTGAGCTCAGGCTTTGGTGGTGACAGTGCTGAGACTCAGCCCTTAGGCCACCAAGGAGGCCCTTATGCTCGTTCCTTCAAATGAGTTAAAGGAATTAATTCAGCTGTAGTAAATATAATAATGAGTGACACTCTCCACTTCTTCTAGGCTTCCTGCAGAGGTGGACCCTGTGACAGTATTTGCCTCGCTTTCCCCAGAGGGTCTGCTGATCATCGAAGCTCCCCAGATCCCCCCTTACTCATCCTATGGAGAGAGCAACTTCAACAACGAGCTTCCCCAGGACAACCAGGAAGTCACCTGCACCTGAGACCCCTGTCTTGGCCCATCCTTGTTCCCTCCCCAACCCCAGGGCTTCTCTGATTCCAGGATACATTACTTTAGCTGAGCGCATAGATTTAGTGTGATTACAGTGTTGGGGGTGGGAGTGGATTGACCACAGATCCCTGGATAACAGAGTAGGTTTCTCCACAGGAGGGCGCAATTGGCCAGTCGTGCTCAGTTGCGTTAGCCAAGATGCTGGGAGTTTTTCTTTCCTTACCTTTCCTATCACGAGCATGTTGCACACAGATGCACACAGATGCAAGGGGACACCACAGTTCACATTGCATCTAACCTTGCAGCTAATGCAAAGGTCGCTTTCCTCTGGGGACCTCCCCCTCGCCCCCCCTCCCCCTCCCTAGATTCCTCTTCTGGGCTCCGAATTTCCATGCCTGCCCCATGGTTTGGTCGATGGCGCCATGAGCTCACACTGTTGTGTTTCTGCAGCCAGACCTACGAAGAGTTATTCACTGGTCTTACATCCCTTGTGGTGTTTCCCCGACAATCACACGAAAACAAGCAGCACCTTCTGCCCCCCCCACCCCCTCCCGCCCAGGTACCTAGTGCCAGCTCCCCAGCAACGCTCCCCAAGGACTCTGAAGCCCCTCCGTTTATTCTCTGACTAAAATGCCCCCTTTCTGTGTCTCCGATGTCCGAGTCAGGATTTTTACAGAGGGGGCTGTCTCTGGACAGCTCCACCGGGAACCAAGTGACAGCCAGACGAACTGGCAGGCAGGGTATGGTTTTGTGTTTTGGGTGGGACGTGTGTCATTATTATTTGACTTGTGCTGTTATTTAGGGGGGAATGACAGTAAATGATATTAATAAAGGAGCTGATGTTCTTAGTGGTGTGCGTTCTTTCGGGGAGGCATGAAATGCGATGCCACTTAGATTTGTAGTGTCTTTAGGGGTGCCATGGCTGCAGATAATAATGCCCAGTGAATGCTGGCTTAAGTGACATAAACATCTTCACGTGTGCTCTATAGTTGGGGCCTTGGAGGGAGTTGGGGACAACCCAGAGCAAAGTAATGGAGACGTGTGTGCTCCAGGGGCAGAAAGCTTGAGTGAGAGACAAACAGGAGGCTGGGCCTCCTGAGAACAACCCCCACCCCCCACTGTGGAGGGTGTGACTAAGTTTTACTTAAATAACTCCAGAGGCGGTGACACCACCAGATATCTGACTGTCCTGGCAGAACGCAGGCCTCAGGTTTCAGGAAGGCAGAGGCTCTCCTTGTTCCCCGAATACCCCCAATGCCCAACACAGTGCCCAACACACAGTGGCACCCTGACTGACCACAGGGTGCGGTGCTCCATGACATCCAGGCTCCTTTCTGCTGCCCTCAAAGTCCCTCAGGCATGTCGCCTCTCACCGTTGTCCCTCACAGCTTCCTCTCTGGTGTCTGTCTGTCCCTCCAACCCCAGGGCCCTTGCCACAGTCTTTCCCAGCTCTTTGCCTGGCTGCCTTTTCCTATCTTCTTCTCCAGATCTCCCCTGAAATGCCATCTGCCCACAGAGGCCTCCCAGTACCCCTCACCCAGTTGTTGGGGGGAGAGGGTGTCTGAACAAACTCCACAGGTAGGCTTTATGGACCCCACCCCCAACCCCAGACCAGAGACCCAAGGCACCGAGGACTACAAACCCCGCAATGTCATCACCACCGAAGGCAGGTTGCTGGGACCTGCGGATGGTGTCACGCAGCCAGGCGTGGCACAGAACAGGTGTGGGCCTGGGGTGCTTGGTTTTTCACAGGCTCTCAGCACGCTATTGGGGTTCCAGCTCAGCGGAACTGGTGAACCACATTCACCAATTTATCTCTCTCTTTCTTTCTCCATGAGTCATTCCTTTCTTCATTTTCCTTTATTTATTGATCTATCGATCGATTGATTTTCGGTAAATAAATGCTTTACTAAACTTTTTTCGTATGCGCCTGCAGATGAGTCTCATTCTAATTTCCTTTAAGTGCTCGGGTGAGGACCCACAGTCAGTCCACCCCGTTTCACATCAGGGTTGCCCTAGAACACGATTTCTGGCTGTGAAACACGGCACTGACTCCAGAGCACTTCTCAGAGCCGTGTTTTCTTGCTCGCGAACACAATCATATGGAAACCTCAGCACAGAGCAGTTACCTGATACACCCCAGAATGTCGAAGTGGAAGAGGATAGTCCCCAGGAAAAGGGGAGGTACAGAGCAGGTACCCGATACTCAGAGCAGGTACCTGATACACCCCAGAATGTCGAAGTGGAAGAGGATAGTCCCCAGGAAAAGGGGAGGTACAGAGCAGGTACCCGATACTCAGAGCAGGTACCTGATACACCCCAGAATGTCGAAGTGGAAGAGGATAGTCCCCAGGAAAAGGGGAGGTTCCACGTTCCCTGCCCCACCCAAAAGAAGGGTGGAGCTGAGCAGGGAGAAGAATCTGCGAGGAGACTGAAAAGAAGAAGCAGGATGGAGCCGGGAGGAGACCTGAGGTACCACGTGGAGCAGAGACTGTGAAAAAGCTGTGCTGGCTTCTTCTTGGCCCTGGACTGGGTGAAACAGACGTGGGTGAGAGACCTTTGGGAAGATTGAGGATGGCAGCGTTTATCTTGATTTTGACTTTGCTCTTTTCCTCCCAGACTTGTCTGGCCATGTCTGACCCTTTTCTATGGGTCCCGGCCAAACGGTGCTTTAGACGGTGATGGGATTTCAGGCCTTGCTCTGGACCAGTCCCTTTTGGGTAGACTTGACCCACAGGGGGCGGGTAACTTTGAGTGTTTGATTTAGAAACTATATTCTTTGTCTTTTCTGTATTGCACACTCATTGTGTTAAGTTCCTTTCCATTAAAGGTCATATATGTTTTGTCTTGATGTGGCGGATGGCAGAAACTATTTAGAGCAGGCGCGTTTGGGGGTTCAGGGGTGCCTCTCTCCCTGCCGGGGTAACAAAAGGACCCTCAAAGGTAAGCGAGTCTTTTTTTCTGTCTGGCCCACAACTGTGCCCTGGCGTTAAGTGCCATAGTTGGTGTATCAGGTAATAAATATGTATCGAATGAATGGATGAATGAGTGAATGGTGTGCGTGGGTTGCCCTGGGAAATTAGACCAAGACATGATCTCAACCCCAGACACCTGGCTTATTTCAGCCCTGAGAGCTTCCAGCTTGAAGACATCAGCTTTGTATTCAAAACAGATGACCCGAGACCCTCCCTGTCCCTGGAGATGAACTAGTAACAGAGGGATACTGTCCCTGAGGGCTCACTTGGGGGTGATGCTTCCCCCTCTCTCCCAGTTCCCTGAAAGTTCTGCGCACAGCCCATCCCCAACCCCAGCCCCCCTAAATCCCCCAGCTGCCTGCCAGCCGCCTGCCAGTGGTGATATATGGAGATGACTTGATTTGACCTTGAAGGGAAGAAGCAAATTAATGTGTCTCAAAATAAATTCCGGGAATCAGTGGCTGGCTTCTCCTCCACCCCCTTCTCTCAGTGCCTCACGAGTTGTGCATCATAATGTGAAAATCAATACTGTCTCTTGAATGAGCCAATACCTGCAGCTGACGGGGTATGAGGCTACTGGGGGAGCACCCCACCCCCAGCCGGTGTCCTGGGTGTGTCAGAAGGAGCCAGAGGCGCCAGGCTGCCTCCTCGATCACCATCTGCAGCCAGGCCAGCCCACTCAGCTCCAAGGCCCAAGACCTCCCAGGTGTGGGCTAGCTGGTGGTTCCTGAGGGAAAGAAAGGGAGACAGGTATGTGGAAGACATTGCCATGGCCATTCTCCAAGGGCATCTGAGATATGGGGAGGGGTGAGACTCTAGCCCAGCCCCCCAACTCAGCCATTAAATGTGTCTGTTCTCAGTGCCTGGGCTCAGTTCTACAGCTGTCAGGTATTCAGATCTTGCAATATTTCAATGCCACTTGATAAACAGCACTGACCGAACCCCTACGATGCCCCGTGTCCTAGTTTGTATCAAGCATGTATTTTTTTTTTAAGTAATCAGATATTTACTCTCTCAATTATTATTATTATTATTATTTTGCACATTTTTTTTTCATCTCAATTGTAATCCCCACGGTTTTCCCATCACCAAATCACCCCTGTGCCACCACCATAGTCCTGTGCATTTCCCTTCCGCCCCTCCCCCCCATTTTTGATCCCATTCCCCACTCCACCCCCACAGAATGTCTCTGGTCTATGGTTGTTCATTATTTTTGTTATTTTCTCGCCTGGTCCATTATACTCCTGCTATGAGTGAAACCATCTGGTATTTTTCTTTCTCTTTCTGGCTTATCTCACTAAGCATGATCTTTTCCAGCTCCATCCAAGTTCAAGCATGTATTTTTATTTGATGCCTTGACCACTGGGGGTCTTGCTGATCCTGAAGGAAGTGTCCCGCCCAGGAATAGATGCTTCTCAAAGGTAGTACCGGACACCTATGAAACACAACCAGCCCAGAGCCCGCACCCCAAGCACATCCGTAAGCACACCTAGCTTCTGAGGCTCCCTTCCCAGCAGTCATCCCAGGCTGGGTACACGTCAGTGAATGACGGCTCCCGTGCCCACTGCCCCTGGGATTACTCCAACCTGCTCATCTTACCCCTGCGTCTCCACCTCACCTGTTCCTTCCTGCAAAAGCCACAGAAAAAGCTCCCAACCATGCTTCCTGCCTCGCCCGGCTCCCTCTGCCTCCTCACCCACCCCGCTTCTGTTCTGTGCACTCCTGTGCTGTGGTGAGCCCCTCTTCTTGGATCTGTGTGTATAATAAACTGTATTTTCGACGGCAATTACCTGCTGCGCTTTTGCCCTTGATGTAATTAAATAATAACAAAATCTATATTTGAAAGCACAGACACTCTCCTCTCCCCACCGCCACCCCCACCAGCCCTTAGTCCTGAGGAACCAGCAGCCGCCTGCTGAAAAGTCAGCCTGGCCCTACCAGCTGGTAACGATTTGGAACATAACCCCCTTTCCTACCACGCACCAGGTGCAGGGCTGGGCACTGAGGAACAAGACAGAGGAGGGACGCCGCCCTTGTGGGTGTCCTGGGGGGCCCAGGGAATAAGTTAATAAGCAAAGAAAATAGCAGGTTCCAGGGCAGGATTTGGTACAGGTTCTACGACCAGGAGCAGCAAGGCCATTAGGGACCTGAGGTGTGATCCCAGCTCTGCTGCTGGCTGACGGTGTGTGACGTTGCCACGTGACCGCTATGAGCACGAGGCAGGGCTGATGGGAACGCATGTGGTGCCAAGGGACCAGCCCCCGGGGCTAATGCTGTTCACGTCCACGGTTAATGGTGGACCTGCAAATAAACAAGAGAAGCTGGAACCACGGATTCCAGGGATTCCAAAGGCCTCCCAGGGTAGGTTTCTGTACCTGGAGCTGACACTCTGCAAGCACCTGCCTCCCCATTCTCACTGTCTCTTCTTGGAAGAAGAGCGAGAATAAGGTGCGTCTGAGGGATGAGTCTCCACGGCCAGAAGTCTCAAGTAACCTTGACACCACATCTCCAAACTCGCAGCTGCCACCCCTAGTCCATGTCCTAGAATGAACCTGTTACCGCAAATCAGGAGAAATCTGCAGTTATGACTTTGGGTCTAAATTGCTTATTTTCTATGCATGAGGAAGATGTCCCTCGTCCCTCAGCAGCCAGCATAGTTCTGAAACATAGCAAGTCTTCAGAACACTAGCTGTTGTAAGTTATTTTGCAAAACCATGGAGAGAGTTTTCTTTTTCTTTTCTTTTTTTTTTTAAGATTTATTTACTTATGCATACAGAACTGGGGTACAGGCCAGAGGTGCAGGGGAAGCGAGAGGATTCACCAGAGATAGAGTGGGGAGCAGAACAGGTGGATCGATGAAGCACACTGCTGAG